ACACACACACACACACACACACACACACACACGCACACACTCGTACACTAAACATGAGCAAAGACAAACACACGCTTGAGCGCTATAAAGCTGAAACGATATCCATGACAAGTTTACCCCTTTTCGTTCAAATAAAAAGAATATATACACAAGACAATTTAAAGGACGCCTACAACACACATCACAACTACATCAGTAACAACAGCATTGTAGACAATCCCCACAGGACCAAGTTAGGTGTCATAGATTAAAATCGGAACACGAAACATTATCATTAATATTATACAATATTATCACATGTACAATGGCATTAAACGAAATTGTAAACCAAAGAAAACATAATACATACACATCAATTATGCATGGTTCAACTTCATTGTAAAATCTTTGGTATGGTTCAAATAAAAGAGATGATCCTCTGAACAACACAGACCAATTCGTTTCCACCACACACAATTGCTTACTAATTCAGGCATAGACCTTGTTATAGAAAAGTAGAAATACAAGCATAGATTGATTTTATGCCACGTTTTGACAACTAATGGTTGAAGAAAAAGACCTTTTCAGGCAAGTCTTGCTGTTTCTTAGATTTTTCACGAGACTTTAGTTAGCTTTGTGGTTAAAAAGTAGACTGGCACGCCGGAACATGATGGTACTCAATTATTATTATGTTGCAAAAACGCATCAAAGGAAAGACCATAGACTTATAATTCCTAGACCGCGCACTGTCATGACCCGCTCTTTGCTCTTTAAAAAGATCAAACAAATTTGTTTTACAATGGGCGAGCATTATTACGGAGGATAGAAAATCAGTCCAGCTATAGTCGAATGCGAAGGTAATTTTTCCATCCTTGCTCTTCAATCGGTTTCAAACAGGGGCAAATGGTGAACTGGATTTACGTCACAGCACACAATCTAGGATATTATAAGACAAGTGCATGGGAAGGACTTACTTTCGGATTTTGGGGGAATTCGACATCTCGTCAAGCATTACTACTAAACCGATAAGGGATCATTTAAATTTAAACGTGCATAATTCGTATGGCTATCCTTTAAAAAAAAAGAAAAGAAAGAACTACTATTCAAAAACGAAATTCAATCCAACCGATTTGAAAAACCAAAATCAATGCTAAACACACAAAATGAGACTACTGAAAATGAGAAAATAATCTAAGGGCAGCATTGCAAAATTCTCCTTTTTTCCAGATAGAGAGAAAAAGCTACTACTATTCTACCAAGTGCTTCTGGTCGGTGTTACAGCCTCTGAAAGTCGTTTCAGAATCAAAACAATAAAATGACCGACTGGTCGAGAACAGCAGAAGTAAAATGGAGAAAACAGGAAGAAACAATACTTTAAAGTTTAAAGTAGATACCACACAGGTACACCTAGGCAGAGATGTTCACGACATGCGTGAGATCTCTTTCTGGTGTGCTGTGGAACTATTTTGTTACCGTATCACCCATGGGGAAATTTTAAAAAGTAGGGGGTGGGGGTGGAGGAGTCGCTTAGCTTTTTTCTCTGTGCACAAAGACAAACTGTACTATCGTGTCATGTGCAATCACTGATCTGGTCTAGCTAATCTTAGTACTGTCAAGGTTTACTTTCGTTCGGCTGCTCTTTGTAAATCCCCCCCCCCCCTTGTCCTCCTGAGCTTCAGCTTTTTTACATGTTGAAAAAGATACAAAACGAAAAAAATATATTGTGTTGAAGAATAATGTTTGTGACAAATAACCACAATACTTTTGTGAATTTTGTAAATAACGTTGTGAAATTGTCTCCGGAAAATAGATTTGTATACATTCTTTGTAAGGTAAGGTAGTTTCCTTTAAAGAAAATTCAAGCCCTTTAACATTTTAGTGGCGTAATTATGGGTACCAAAACAGGATGAGTATGCCGTTCTTTTTATGCTAACATTGCATATATAATTTTATTGAGTTGCAGTTGTCTTTTCAAACCACTTCCCTTCTGTGTATACACAAATATACTTGCCTTCTCCCGAACTGGTCCACTGTCATTTGTTTATACTGGTCCAAGAAGGATATTTAGTCGATGTATTTGCAAATTGTACAGTTTCTCATTCTTTTTAAGGCGAAATATTTTGTGGTTTTGCTTCGATCTCTCTTGAGTAAACATTTTTATTTTGTCTGTGAAAGAGTTAAAGAGGCTAAATGCAGAATAACGACAAGGATAACATTTTAAAGCTCAGTTTTTTTCTTTGGGATCTTACCAGACATGTCCGTCAACTATTCCAGTGAGATACGAGTCCCACCCTGTCAGATAGGCAAAGTCACAGATAAATTGCCCCTAACCAGGGTCAGCTCCACTGTTGAGATGACGTCATGGAGGTCAAGGAAACAGCTGGTGAGGCCAACTGACTGATCTGTTGTTGTTGTTGCTGCTGTTGTTGCTGTTGCACTTGCTGCGTGTGGATGTGGTGTTGATACAGTTGCTGTTGGGGTAAGAAACTGTGGTGGAACCCAGACGAGTGATGAGGGTTCACGTGTGCCGGCTGTGGTTGTTGTTGTTGCTGCTGGTGCTGCTGTTGCTGCTGCTGTTGTTGTTGCTGGTGGGGATGCTGCTGCTGGTGCTGGTGCTGCTGCTGAAGCTGATGTTGCTGTTGTTGAAAGTGACTTAGCATGGCGCCGAGATTCGAGGGCGGACCAAACACAACACCGACCCCGAAACCGATATCGTTGTCCGGGAACACAGCGTTTCCCCCGTCGATACCGACACTACTACCAATTGTACTGAGACTGTTGCTGAGAAGAAGGCCATTTCCACCAGCACCGTTAGACCCGATGGATGCAGGAGACGTAGCGGGAGGGACGATAGCAACCGCCGAGGCCTCGTTACCACCTACATCGTCGTCGTTATCATTGTCCATGATGATCCCCCCGTGAAGGCTTTTGCTATTGTTGATGCTGTTGATGGGGGTATGACTACTGTTTTGATGATGGTTATTATTATTATTATTATGGTGGTTGTTGTTGTTGTTGGAAGTGTTGTTGCTGTTGTTGTTGTTGTTGTTGCTGTTGTTGTTGCCGCTGCTGCTCAAGCTGCTGTCTCTGCTGCTGCTGTTTCCGGGATCGAGAAAGTTCGGTGAGAGAATGTTGGCGTGTGGGCTGTCTGCCCCGTCTCCCTGAAGGGGGAGACGTCCCCACCGTCAAACAGGAGGGACGGGGGAGTGGTGGTGGGTGTGGTGGGGGTGGTGGGCCGGGTGAGCGTGGGCGTGGTGTAGATTATGTCCTGGCAGTTGATGGTGGTGGTGCTGGGGATGATGGTGTTGGTGGTGGTGATGGTGTCGCTCTAAGGCAGCTGCCTGCGGTGAACAGAGGAAATGATGCGGAAAAGCAGAGCTCTCCGTTTTTACGAGAGGCACGGGTAGGCCTTGTCGCATTTCTTCTATCATTTTGCTCTGCATGCTGAAGTCGCGACCGTACTCCGCGGGGTGTGCACCGTGCATCATGGTGCCCTGATGGTGTGCACTCATCCCACACATGTGCTGCATGGCTTGCTTCATGCTCTCCTCGCTTAGGTCACGGCAAAAAGCGTCCCTATAAAAAAAGAAGAAAAAAATTAATCAATCAGCTAATGAACTGTTTAACTCGTGTCTGTTTTATTGACAAAAGCGTGGTGAATGCGGAGATAGTCGAAACCATAATGATCAAAGCGTGTAAAAATATAAACAATTCCTACACATATTATTTTCAGGACACTTGGTGTGGTTAAAGTGTGTACGCGCTTGTGTCGACATGTGTTTGTGTGTTTGTGTATATGCACATGTGTGTGTGTGTGTGTGTG